GAGGAAATAAGTAAAATATAATTTCGAGGAACGGACAAGTCGAATTGGTTACTTGTGATGATGAAGTTGATATTCATAATAGTCGAGCATTTGTCTTGAATTGCACTATTGTTTTATCTATCTTCACATAGTTTACCCGTTTTTTCTCTTTTTCTTTTAGGCTGAACTCGCTCAGTGCTTAGAGAGGGATGGCTACAAGTCCATCTACCAGGCAGTCGGAGCTGATTGCAGACAACCGTAATGAATTCATACAATTTTCAGAGCTTCACAGGTTCAATATGCATGTACAGGCTAGTTTACGCAACACTTTTCACCCCCACCCAGTTCTGTTGAATGAATTTCCTACTCGAAAAATTGTACTTCCCATATGTTTTATTCATTTTGATAGTCTAGAGTGAAATTTTTGAATGTCATATTTTGTATGTCAAAGTAGGGAGTAAAATGTTTCTTGCATATCTTGGATTTTACCTTCTGCTATGTTGAATTTCCTCGCATTTTAAAAAAAACTACTGCAGGGATAGCTAAAATTCAAAAAAAAAAAAAAAAAAAAAAAAAAGAAATCAAATAAAAGAAAATGTATGGAAAATAAAACTGAAAGTGATAGGTATTAATGGTACGTGGCAGTTATCAAGCACTACTCATCTCGTCCTTATTACTTTCTGTTTCTCACACTTATTCTCTCTGCCCCACCATTCACCTGGTCCTCCTCTCTCACCACCGCCCTCCTCCACCCTCCGTCGCCTTATACCAACACCTCAAAGACGTGAAAAACTCTTCTTAAACAGAAAAGGAGTGGCATAAGAAATGGTGGGACTTAGTGTAATATTGGAAGAGCACAAGGATATTAACAAGAGAATTTCACAAGTTATAAGCAAATGGAGTTTCTGTATGAAAATCAAATCCCCCTCGACTCCTCATCCTCCAATTCCTTCTTCTCCTTGTCCTTTTTCGAGGAGGAATATTCCGATAAATCTTGATGAGTGTTTGCTCTGCAAGAAGAAACTGTTGCCTGGGAAAGACATCTACATGTACAAGTAAGCTTGCAAAATTTGAATAAAAACAAGAATAAGATCATCAATAATTAACTTTGTTATTTTGGAGACTTGGTTCGATTGTATGATCTTCATTCTTCAACTGTTTGATGCAGAGGGGACATGGGTTTTTGTAGCGTGGAGTGCAGGTGCAGGCAGATATCTATGGATGAAGAGGAATCTGCAAGAAGTGGTTGTACAAGTGAGTACAAGTACTGTTCATTATTCGCCATGAAACCCCAACAAATGCCTCCATCTCCATCATCATCTTATTCTTCTAGTGGAAAAGGAAGCAGAAACATGGCAAATACTTTTGTGTACCGAATGCTTCTGTTAAGAGATTTATCTTCCACTTTTGCCCATGCCACGGTATTTACATGACAATGAAGTCCTCCTTTTTCTTCGAATGTAACCAAGAAATCTTGAGTTTGTTTTGTCAATTGAAAGGTGTTTTTGGTAGTTTGGTTATGTTTCTTGGTTATGATTAGTTGGTTTTAATTACTCTTAATCGAGTTCCAAATGTTGAAAGTTTCGGGATTAATATATATGGATGTTCTAAAGATTACTTAATTTAGCTATTAACTAGAGTATATAGAAGAGGCTAGACTAGAGGTACCAGTCGGACCAACCTATCTAGAGAGAGGCATGGCTTTTGCTCAAATTCAGTGAGCACTTTCATGGACGGACTTAGATCAAAATGTAAGAACTGCTTACATTTGAAAAGGGTCGATTAAAAAAAATAATAATAATATATATATATATATATATATATATATATATATATATATGACAGCATGCTCAAATTTAAGTGTAGTTCCTTTAATAGTTTTTTATTTCTTTCGTTGTGATAATCGAAACTAGATAAAGAATAACACGTACGGACTATAAGACACAGTAAATGGTGAAAAGAGAGAGCCTGTACCATGTTAGATTCTTATCTTGGAAAATGACATTTGGCTCTTCCTTTGCCCATTGCTAAGAAAGACATCCAAACAGTTTTGAGAAAGAAAGGACAATTGTACAATTCCAATGTTTTATTTTGGGCTGATGTTCGTGTCACACTAAGAATACTAATTCAGGGGCATGAACTTCGTAGGGATATGAACTCTAAACACCATAAAGATGACATGAAGGACAAACTCTTCATTCAAGGAATACAAGTCGTCATCGTCATCACCATTATTATTATTAATATTTGCTTATGGGAAGTGCGCTGGGAGTCCTAAACCTAGGACAGGCCATCTTGATTGGCTCTCGATAGTCTTATTTATCAATTTAACGTACATTTTGTATTGAAAATTAAGATTAAGGGGGCCCCTTTAGTAGAAGAATGAATTTCATAATTCCCCCCACAAAATAAGCATTCACGGTTGTAGAAGACTTGAATACGCTATTTAGAGTCTGAACCCATACAATCTTGACCCTTTTCCAGGAATTGGATCCATACTTCATTTTTTTTATTTTTTAATTCACTCAACTCAAATCCTCTAACAAGCATACATAACAATCATGGATCAGTGGAATTACACTCGGTAAAAGTGGAACAGCAAGTCAGGATAGAACTTATACAAGAATCTTGCACCAGTAGCAATTTTCAAATAGTACAACTCCTGCTATAAATACCATCGTCAACTTTTGTCTTAGCTACTCCAGGGACTCTATACATCAACCAGATTTGAACAGAAGAACTGCTTTAGAATCCAAGTAGAAGTAGACAAAGTGGTTTGTCTCGTGAGTTACATAAGAACCTACATGAAAGAGTAAGAAGTAATGAAGTTAGTTGAGGCCCATACATTTCCAATGGATTATCAAAGCAGAAAATACTTTCCCTTTCTTGTAAATAGAGGAAAACATTCCTATCATTCATTACAAGTGAGCAAATACAAAAAGAAATTCCGTCTCATTTCAAATTAATTTGGGATTGGCTACACAAATTCCTTTTTATATCATTTTGTTTCACCTAGAGCCACTTTGAAAGGTTCAGTAAAACTAAATCTTTTGCAACCACTTAGACCTTGTTAATTTTATTTTGTCTCCTTCTAACTTGTGTTAATGCAATTGCATTTTTTTTATTTTCCATTTAAGTCATCGTTCCGTTTATTCATATCATTCGAGACTTCTACTTTTTGACGTATAGTCTATTGTTAGTGAATTAATTTCTTGTGGTTATAGATTTATCTTAATATCCTTAAGAGTTGCTTCACTCATATGATGGATAATTCATCCTTCAATAATCAAATGAGCATAGATTGAGATTAATTCATAGATATTTGTGAACCAGATCTATTTGATGAAACGGGTAAAAGAAACAAGAATTGTGTACGCCTTTTATTTTATTATTATTATTTATTTTTTTGGGCGGGGGGGGGGGGTGGCAATGGGGGCAGTTGTGAGATTTAGTGGAATTGGAAGCAGGAAATGTTCCATTATAGAAAGCCTTCTGCTTGGATGATTACTTCGAAAATGAAGGATTTTAAGTTAATTCTCATTCGACTATCCATAAGTAAAGAGTTAAAGGGGATACCATGCATAAGATTAGATGGTCCATCAGATCCGTACAATGATAAATGAATCAATCTCTGGTTCTCTGGTGAGATTAGCTTAACACCTATACCGCAGTACTATTTGGAACATATCCTAAGTTTTTGTAGACATGTATACACTTTTCATCCATTCATTATAAACTTTTCTAGACTTCAAGAACTTCTATTGCAATTTCATCAATAAAAAGCAACTACAGTTTTATCTAATTCTACATCAACACGACTAACCTTTCTTTGTACAACACCTGTTCTCCTTCCTAGCAAGCAGAAATCAATTTGACTAAGCTTCTAAGAACTTTTGAAAAGTTAACAAGCAATAATATTTCTTTCGAAATATGTACTTTTTTTAACCAGATCATCAATCATCACAAAGCCTCACAAAGGCAAAATTTCACGTGCCTTTTCATGTCATGAGTTGCCTTTTCCAAGTGACCATTTAACTGTTCCTTTTGCCCTATCTAATCTTATTTATAGAACGTGTTAATTCTCCTATCCTAACATGGTCTAATTAATATAGTTGTATCTTGAACCTTCTAGCATCTATCCAGTCATACACTGACGTCAATGATGATCCCTATCTTCTCTACCTGAGTATCAAAGTGTATAGCTTGTATTCCTAAATTTTGTATCTTCTCTTTTATCCATATCACCTTTTGTATATAATCCTCACTCTCCTTCACAAGGGAATAAGTACAAATGAAAATTATACATCACAAGTGACCATAATTCAATATAAAATAGAATGTGAAAGCATGTGTCAACAATTTATCTATAGGAAACTAAGAAAATTTAAAAAAATTCTGTTTAGGAACACATTATAAGGAAAGCTGATAACACAGGATAGTAGCCAATAGTCTCTAATTTGGCGACTTTCGTTCCTTCTGTCAAAATGTTGTCAGCAAATAGCAGATTACAACAACTTTCATCAACTCTGACCATTGTGTAATTATTGATTGGAAAGAAAAACAATATCACCTTTTGGTTCACAACACTCTCTTTACAACTATAGTTATGCAATCAACTACATACAGCATGCACAAACTTTGTAGACATGAGAGCTCAAGGAGTATTGGCTTAAGATGAGGCAGGTAAAAGGATATATGTTTAGAACACTAGAATAAGGCTACCGATGAGCACAAATCACAGACAATAGAGAACAGTAATTGTTTTTATTGGCAATCAGACAAAAAACTAGTGGGTAGCTACATATGCTGAGAATAACCATATCATTGTCAGAAAATGAACCTTAACAACCTTTTAGAAAAATTTTATGGAACTCTTAAGTGCAAATTGTGGAGGCACAAGTGTTGGCAAACTAAATGTGTGGAATGCACCCAGATAATGAAATTCTTACCTTCCACGTTAACCCCAATATTATGAATTAGCCATCCGTGCTAATGCCAATCAAATAAAAAAGTTACTAATCTAATTAATTGAATATCCCCTTTGTTCCAGAGTCATATGTCTGCCAAAATAATAGCCACGTCTGAAAGTTGTTAAAACCCATAATCAAATAACTTGATTCGTTTGTCCATATTATTGCCACTTACTAATGTCGAAATTGTTAACCTTAAAGGAATACAGGTATAAGGAGATTAAAGACATGGGATGCACGTATTCTCAACGAGATATCAAAAGCAGAGATCTAGGGAGTCCTAAAAAACATATTTAAGTCCAAAGAAGAGAATGTGAGGCACGAGAGCTAGTGTCCTAGTCTAAGAAACAAGTTACGGGCCATGTGTTGGCTAGCTAAATAAATAGGTATAGCCCACATAAAGAGCACATTTCCTTTAACATTAACTCCAAATTGAGAAGCTTTACCAGTACATAAATACCGATCTAACAAGATCATCATGTCTAATCCATGCTTCTTTTTAAGTAAGTTGAGAATCCAGATCAAGTAATCTAGTAGCTACCAAGTTTAGAGAACACTCAAAACATCAACGGAGCATATGCAGTTTTCAGAAAACAGAAATACTTGTGAAAATAGAGGTGTTACTGTGATAGTTTCCTACTGTAACCAAAAAATTGAAAGTAACTATATATCAACTAATGAACTTGAAATGCTCAAGTGTAATTCGAATGTAAGCCTAGATCCACTGCGTAACTAAACAAAGAATGTAAATCAGCCAACAGATCACACTTAAAAATGACATCAAATATAGTGCAAGTTTCCAGAACAATAGCCACCTACACAATTGACAACCAAAACTCTTCGAGAATCAAGATTAAGAAAAATTACCAAAATTCTTGCCAACAATACAATGCCAAGTGGGTCCGTGCTTCTTGTCAAACATCTTCTTTATGTGCTCTGCAACCTCCTTTTCCACGCTATACTTCTCAAATGCCTTTACACACACAAACCAGCATATTAGTTCATAATTTCATAAAATACAACAAATTAGGATCTTCGAGAAACGCCCATCTGAAAAATAAACAACAGAAATAAAGTAATTGGGTCTGTATTTTCTTTTTCTTTTCCCTTTAATTTGGGGAAAAAAAGAACGAAAATTTTACTGCGATTGCAATGTCTACTGCTTCTTTCTGCAAATCCTCCTTCATGTCGGCGCTTTTGATGACTACTTTCTTTCCGGCAACGGGGCCGTTAGTGGAGCCGGACGAGTATTTACTGTGAACGGCGGACTCCGACGACGGCACCTCCAGCGATCCAACCCTGTTCCTCCCTGTCTCATCACTCATTATTTTTCCTATTTTGAAATAGAAATTGATAATTGATACCCTATGTTTGTTTATGGTAGAGAGAGAGAGAGAGAGAGGAGTTTGTGTAGGGCGATTCTGATTTGTATCCGAGTGAATTTTCTTGACGTGAGTCTCTCGTTTCTTACCTATGCGGATAATGTCGTAGTCAGACTGGTCAAACAGAAGAGGGGTACCAGAGAAAATTTCAAAACTCAAGGATTTACTTTTATATAAGTAGATCATAAATTAGCTCCTGTCACCCTCATTCTTTTTAAAAAATATATTTTTAAATAATTTTTAAATATTATTTTAAGAGTAATTAGCACAAAACATCCATACCTTTCGATATTTTTGTGGAAAACGTCCCTACCTTTCATTTTTTGGTGGATTACACCCTTACCTTTACATTTTTTTGCGCAAAACGTCCTTCTGTCAACTCTCCGTTAAAATGCTCCGTTAAATCAAAAAGGTAATTAGCACAAAAGGTCCCTACCTTTCAAAGTTATTGTGCAAAACGTCCCTACCTTTTATTTTTTAGCATAATTAGCAGAAAAGGTTCCTACCTTTCAATATTATTGTGCAAAACGTCCCTACCTTTCATTTTTAGCATTTTCACCCCTACCTTTCACCTTTCATTGCAAAAAAGGTCATTCTCATCTATTTTTTCAATAAAATGACGATTTTACTCTCCTATTCAAATAAAACAAAAAGAAAAGATGAATTACCAGCTGCAACCATAATCCTTAAATTTTTAAAAAATTACAAAAAATCATAAATTCTCAATCACCACCATTTTCACAACCTATCAAGCTGCCAACTATAAATCCACATAATACCACCTTTCGGCCACCATGCCCACCGGACTCCACCATCGTAAATGTGGTTGTTTCGGACAGAATTTATGATTTTTTGTAATTTTTTAAAAATTTAAGGATTATGGTTGCAGCTGGTAATTCATCTTTTCTTTTTGTTTTATTTGAATAGGAGGGTAAAATCGTCATTTTATTGAAAAAATGTATGAGAATGACCTTTTTTGCAATGAAAGGTGAAAGGTAGGGGTGAAAATGCTAAAAATGAAAGGTAGGGACGTTTTGCACAATAATATTGAAAGGTAGGGACCTTTTCTGCTAATTATGCTAAAAAATAAAAGGTAGGGACGTTTTGCACAATAACTTTGAAAGGTAGGGACCTTTTGTGCTAATTACCTTTTTGATTTAACGGAGCATTTTAACGGAGAGTTGACAGAATGACGTTTTGCGCAAAAAAATGTAAAGGTAAGGGTGTAATCCACCAAAAAATGAAAGGTAGGGACGTTTTCCACAAAAACATCGAAAGGTAGGGATGTTTTGTGCTAATTACCCACCTTTTTTGCAATGAAAGGTGAAAGGTAGGGGTGAAAATGCTAAAAATGAAAGGTAGGGACGTTTTGCACAATAATATTGAAAGGTAGGGACCTTTTCTGCTAATTATGCTAAAAAAATAAAAGGTAGGGACGTTTTGCACAATAACTTTGAAAGGTAGGGACCTTTTGTGCTAATTACCTTTTTGATTTAACGGAGCATTTTAACGGAGAGTTGACAGAATGACGTTTTGCGCAAAAAAATGTAAAGGTAAGGGTGTAATCCACCAAAAAATGAAAGGTAGGGACGTTTTCCACAAAAACATCGAAAGGTAGGGATGTTTTGTGCTAATTACCCTTATTTTAATCATATATTTTTTAATAAAATAATATTATACGTAAATTGTACATGGATTAATTTAATTCAACGTTTCAATGGTACCCACTTAATTCATTATTCATTTTCATCGCATTATAAATTGAATATTTGTATATACCATTCTAAATGTTATCAAATCGAGAAAAACTACAGTGATAGGGGAAATTATTAACTTAATGTGTTTGATTGATTTAATTTTCAATTTAAAAAATATTATACTTGTCCATTTTTTATTGGTGGGTATATGAGGGAGAAGGAATAAATAAAGAGAGAAAAAGAGAATGGATTTCCTGGAAAATAAAATTTTACTCCCTCTAAAAAAATATTTTCCTTAATTTTGAGAAAAATACGATCATGTGACGAAAAGTAAAAATTTGTTTCTATGAAAAAATGTCAATCAAATAGCAAATTAATAAAAATTTGTATACATAATACATTTTCCATATAAAATATTGACAATCAAACGTACCCTAAGGTATGCTTGATTGGCATGCAAAATATTATCTAGAAAGGAAAATATTTTCCTTGTTTTGAGAAAAACAAAAACCTATTCTCCCCAAGAAAATATTTTTTTTAAAACAAGGAAAAATGGTCATATTTTCAAAGGTTGAAAAATATTTTCAACAAAAATATAGCAACCAAACACTCCAAAGTAGGAATTTATGTGAAAAACTGATATTTTTTATGGAAAATAAATGCAATCAAATACACTCTAATTAATTTTTAGCATATTAAAAATAGTAATGTTATTCATAATCGCTCACTGCGTAATTATTATAGTTACATCATACATAATGATTTGCGATGTGATTTATTAATGTGATATTTTTTTGTCCATATTTCAAATCACTAACCGTCGCATGCATGTCACGTAGAATGATTGTGATATTGAGTGACTGCAAATAGTATTATTCTATTAAAAAAGACATATTCTACAAAATTTATTCACTTGTCGCATGAATTACACAATTAACATCTAACTTTTTTTTTAATTTAATTTTCCTCCTAAAAAAAGACCTATTCTACAATTTTTGTCGTCATTTGTGTGGGTGATTTAAAAAAAATAGAAGAAAGAAATTGTAAAAGATAATAACCATGACACAAATGATGAAGTGTCATCACCAAATAATTAGGATGACTTGGCTAAAACTCGCAGATTTAATTTTAAAAACTTTTCGATCAACATTTTATTCCCTAGTGGATCTAAAGTTACATTATTTGTAGAAGCTAACTCAATTATTGTTGAAATTGGTTCAAAAAATTAAATAAAATTGGAAAATAAAAATGTGTGTAAAAGTGAAAAATGAAAAGGTGTGACTACGTGTCAATTTCAACCAAATATTCGGATTTGATTCGATGGTCAAATTACAAAAGTAAATAGACCAACTTATTCTACTCTTCGAGTAGATCGTCGTGGTATATTTGGAATCTTGAAACCAATTCCGGATGAATGAGAAATTGCAGACCAAAGTTGGAAGAAATGAAGTGTTGCAACTTTTCGAAAGAATGCAGGTTTTGGCCAAGTGTTGCAACTTTTTGAAAGAATGCATGTTTTGGCCCACACTACTTCATTTACATCCTTTCTACATTTATAAATAGAACCATATGGACATGATTTTGGATACACCAATTGCATTGAGCATTCATTCTCTTCTTGCAATTCTCTACTTCCTAAATTTCATAGCATTTTCATGCATTTCCTTGGTAGAGAGGGAATTCCGTTCGAGTTCGCTAGTCAAAGTCATTTGGAGTGCTCCTATACCTTGACGTGGTCGTTGTATCTTGGGAGATGATTGTCGGAAAATCGTGAGCACCGATGCGGGCAAATTCATCTTAAGGAAAGAGTTATACTCGACTCGGCCAATTGCATTACTTAAATCTTTTTTCTTTTAATTTCATTTCTACTTGATTTTAGAAAATGATTAATTTTATTTATATGGTTTATTCAAGGTTTGATATGAAGAATCACATGTTTTAATTCAATAATGGAAATGGTCAGATTCGATAATCATTGGTTAGTTTCTCAAACTCCATTTCGGTAAGTCGAAACCTTGTTTCGATTTCATAAACATGTAAGTTACGTTTTGTGAATATAATATGCACATTTGAATCGGTGTATTCCCCAACAATCTTAAGGTGAATTTTCTTATACATATTATATTTTATTTGCAATCGAAATCAAGATACTGCATGAATAAAATTATAAGACGGAATTTTGACGTATCGTGATTCTGGTAAATGTGTTATATTACAACATTTAATTAGAAAAATTCATGTGTAATGAATCTGTATATTATAACAGAATTGATAGTGATTCTATAACTTGGAATCATTCATTTATATGTTGAATTCATTACAATATATTTCAAGTTGATTTGTGGACAAACAATCTGAAATTATTCAATCTTGCACCATATAATGCAGATTCTGGTTTTGACCCATTAGAAGAAATTCTAATATTCAGAGATTAGAGTGGAAAATCTTAAATTGTTGCATCAGATTATATGATAATTAGTTGTGAAATTCATAATACATATGATATTCATGAACCGGTGCATACATGTTTGTGTATTGTATTTGTTGGTAGTCTCATCTATGAGTTTTATTTGTTGGCACTATTTTAATCCAAAGTGTATCTATATTAAAAGATAATTTGTGTCAGAAGTTGCCTAAGAAATTTTGATCGGGAAGGTTGGTAAAATCTTGTTAACTGTTTGTAAACAAAAAGTATGCATGCTATATGGAAAAATGTATCTTTCCAAATTAAAAACAGTTTTTAATTTCTGAAATGGTGTGACCTGTTTGAATTGTGTAGCATGAAATATTTGTCTAGATAGTATATAAATGTAAACTGATTTGTAAAGTCAAATTGCATATGGACATTGTGAATTTTAAATGCTTACCATTGCGTTCCTTCATGTTTAAACTGCCTCAATTCAAAGTTATCAAGAAATAAATTTACTAAACCTGCGAAAGATGCATGTTAGGATAATTTTAATTGTTCAAAATATGTTGGCTTTGGCTTTGTCAAAATCTAGTAATGCTGAAATTTATAGTTTGTGCAGAATTCCTTACTTTTAGTTTATACGTATGTCATTCCAATAACTTTTGTTATCTCACTATGGCAAATCATTATGTGTTTGAATATATTACTTGCATGAGAAGACATATTTTAACTGATAAATATCATCATAATGGTAATGGCATGAGTATGCATTTATTTTAAGTAGACAACTTTGTTGGGTATCTATATGATAATTATGTGAAGCGGATTAGTGTATTCATTTGATGAATCCGTACAAGCATTTGGATTTTGGATAGACCTTTTTGTTTAAATGGTTTAATTTGTTAAATTTTTATATTTTGTTGAAATTATACTAATTTTGATTAATGTTGATAGCCTCATTTAATCCTATGGAATTAAGTGAGAT